TTCATAAAAAAAAATGCATGCATAGCCTTTAGGAGGCTTATAGAGTACTCCTGGGAGGGGGGCAAAATTGAGCAAAAAACGGCCCATTTTCCACTCCTTTCTGCCTTCCCCAGCCCCCAGGAGCTATCTGAAAGCCTTCTACAGGCTCTGCACGGCCATTTTGGTGAAGGGGCAGGGTTTCAGGAGGAAAAATAAAGGCTGTATTGAGTGTATAAGATGCAGCCAGATTTGCAGCCTCTTTTTTGCGGGAAAAAGGTGCATCTTATACTCCGAAAAATACGGTACTTTTCCTATATATTTTTATCCATTTGGTTTAAACAAAGCATACTGAATGTTTGTGCAAATAATCCATTTTATTAAATCTTACTCTTTTTTTTATAAAAGAAAAAATTTGGACAACATTTTACGAGAATAAAAACTAATTGGAAATTTTTTAAAAGTCTACAGCAAAAGCTTTTTGCCAGTCCCTCATGTAAATATTATGAAAATATTCCCTGCTGCCTTTCTGCTTGCACTTTAGGTTGGAATTTGGATCCAGGAAAACAATCACTTTTCTTTCAATTGTTTTCAAAATATTTGACAAAATGGCAATATAATTTTACCATGTGCTCCCATGATGTACTAGTTATATTGACCCCCACCCACACCCCCTAGTACTAATCCTGTACTTAAAAACCTGCACTAAATCATATTAGTAGCAAAATAAATAGGACTATTTCTGAAGTAATGAAGTTGCAGATGGCAAATATTGTGAATTTTCTGTCTTCCTTTGCAGATACCAGGCGTTGGTTTACTTTGCCTCTGTGTTCCAATCTATTTCTTGCGGCATCCATTATCTGTCTTCTGTCTTCTTGGCTGTAACACCAAAGTTTGTATGTAACATTGCTGGAAATGTGAGTCGTGTCCTCGTTTACAATTCATCTCATTCAAACATAGAGGATGCCTGGAGTCTGTGGACATCAACACAAAACTACATCTTGGTCCAGTTGGAAAATGGAGACGTTTGGGAGCTTAATCAATGCAGCAGGTCTAAACGAGAAAATGCCTCAGGATTTACTTATGAATATAGTGGCAACAAGACTGATTTTCACTGTACAGATGGATACATCTACGATCACACCAATTGGCAGAGCACCATTGTAACCGAGTGGGATTTGGTCTGTCAGCAGGAATGGCTTGCAAAATTAACCCAGCCAACATTTATGCTGGGAGTCCTTGTTGGAGCTGTAATCTTTGGAGATCTTGCTGACAGGTATAGTATGGGGTTTGCAAAAAATTGCTGGAGGACTTGAGGAATCTCCTGGCTTTTGAGCTCATTTACCTTGGGAAAATGTCTTCCTTTATACTTCCCAGAGCATATTGGAGTGATAGTTGAATTGACATAATACAAATAACAGTACAGGTGCTTTCTAATGCAGCATTTTCTCTGTTACTGACTTATTTTGTCTTCACTGACTTTTGGCCTTCAGCTTCTAAGGAAATTTGCTGCTCATCTTTACATTCTACATTTAAGTTAATCTAAAGTAGCAAGTAAAGAAAACTTTCACCTCTAAAATTGCATGTACCTAGGGTTTTATTTAAACCATTTAACACTGTTTGTGCAAAAGCAGCATTGTTTCCCATTGGGCTACAATCGATTCCTAATTGCTACGATTGCAAATGTAAATAATAGAATCTGGTTTAAGTCAGATGGAAATTCAGCTGCATGAATTCTTTTTATCAGTAAGGTCTAACTGAGCTGTGCCTTCCTTCCAACACATCTGTCTCTGCTATCAGTTGGGTTTCTTCCCTGCTGATACATCCCTGCAGCAAAAAGCAGAGAGCGGCATAATTTTTAGAAAAATAAATAAACATGGATTCAATTTCTGACCCTTTGTAGGAAAAATAAACACTTTCTAGATGTTGACTCTGCTTAGCTTTACTTGCATCTGGCTTGAAAGCCTGGAGCTTCAGTGNCTCACTCACTCACTCTCTTTTAGGTACCAGGAAATGTTCATTTTGGCGCTTTCAGCAGCTTTTGGACACCAATAGTATCCCATGGATTGTTGTTTCTGTTGCTTGTTTTTTTTAATTTCATTTCATTTTAAGGAACCTTTTGTCTCCCTATGAGATGGATGCAGAAGCTGCATCCTGCTTTTAGATCCAAACATGTGAAAAATATTCAAAGGAGCAGCAGGAATCTGGCTCTTATTGTTCTATTCAGTATATCCTGAAATTCTTAGTGAAGGGGCTTAATAGACGAATCGTAATGAATGTTTTTCTAGTTTTTGACACCTTCAGATGCTTGAAAATAACAAGGGGAGGTTTGAAAATGTAAGAAGCACTCAGTGGCAGGTAGTTTAAGGGGTTTTTGTGTGTGTTTCCCCTCCCCCCCATTGAAATGCAGACTAATGCATATAATAATGTGATACCAATTACAGCAACAACGGTAATAAACTGACAGTGATGATATAATTTATGTTTTGTAGAATACACAATTGCAGCCTAATTCAGCCTCAAATGACACAGTTATAGTCACCTTGATCTTCAGTTATGCAAACTGAAAATAATTAAGCTATCTCTCGTGCTATGAATAAAGACATGGGAAATCGAGGGATCCAGGAGTCTGCTAAGGTGGGGGGATTTTCAGAGAAGAGACAACTTGGAAAAGAAAAGATAGGCGAGGAGTTCTCTTCCTTCTCCCTTGATGTATGCTTAAAAATATTAACTCTTCATGTATCGTTAAAGATTTCTGCGGAGAGGAATGCTATATAAAAAACAATTGTCAGGATTTTAGGTTATTGTAATCAAAGATTAAATAAATAACATGGACATACCATATCTAGACTCATTTTATTTGTTATCTATTTATCTGTCTATTTGTTTGTGTGTGTGTGTGTATGTATATGTAGGTATGTGTGTNTCCAATGCATAGCTTCTCACCTCTCTCTTCTAGGCCCAAAGAGAGGGTAAACAAACTGCTAAACAGCTTGATGGATTGCTGTTTAAACAGTTTAATGACGCCAAGATTTGAGAGCTGTTAAAAATAACAACTCCCTGTCAGGCCCTGCCCACCGGAAGCCCTCTATCTTTAATCTTTAATCTTTTTATTGCACTGATTCTTTAATGCTGCTGTACACTATGTATTTGTACTTTTTAATTAGTTCACATAATTTTTTATTATATGATGCAACTAGATTGAGTGTAGAAATCCTACATGTGTTTTCTATTAATGGATTCTCTTGCCTAAATATTGTGAACAGGAGGGGGAAGGAGTTGGGTATGGAAAAGATTCAGAACTTGGAAGAAAGTACTGTTTGATGGACAGAAAAATTTCCAAAAGAAATAAAAAGAAACCATTTTCCCAATATAACAGCCCAATTCTATATATAGTTTAAAACAAAACCAATCACTTTGAATTCAGCAGGAAATAGAAATCAGATTGCAGCTAAAAAACGAGCTGCATCTATAAAGTACAAATCAGTTCACTTGTAACATAGAAATGAATATGTGTGGATTTAAACACCTATTGAAATAGCCCCCTGAATATTTCTTTTTATTTTACCTTTATGGTTTTTATAACTAAGTAGTGAAAATATCTAATACTCCTTCATCCTCCCTTTCCTTTTCCCACAACAAGGCTTGTGTGAGATGAGTTGGGCTGAGAGAGTTTCACCAACCCAAAGTCACTCACCTGGCTTTCATGCCTAAGGCAGAACCAAAACTCAGTGTTCTTTTATTCATCATATTTTCTACTAGATTCCAATGAAGTAAGTCAATAAGACCAAAGGCCTAAAGCCATGAATAAGCCCAGCTGAAAGCAGCTGCCATGCCTAGGAAGGCAGAGTTAATGGCTTGTGTCTAGTTTTCAGTGTAGATAATTTAGCTTGGCTGGGGTTTCCAAAAGATGATCAACCAAGGCCATAGAATAGATTCGAGTTGAAAAGGATTGTTTCAATTCTGTATCTTCTGTAAGTTCTTCCACTTTTGCATACGTTCTGGGGAGAGGGAATTTTTAAAAAGCCCAATTGCTTTCTTGTTACAGAAACATTTTTGGGTGAACAGATAATGTCACAATTGAATGACATCCAACAATACATTGTTAAACAAAGGTTTTCAAAATATGATCTAAACAGGGCTATTTTATGGGTTTCCTAGGTATTGTATTAAACACAATCTGTTAAAAGAAGCACAGACAAAAGTCATAGGACTTACCTTTTGACACTCTGCCATCTTGCTTATTTGACCCCTCTCCCACAGATGCTACTGCCTGCTCTTGGTGGGATAATGTTTTTTTAACCGTGGTTCATGGCACTTCGTATACTTATATTTATAAATGTAATGCAAACCTTCTTGGATTACAACTTTCTTATCATTCAGGGCAAGCAGCAAGGAATTTAATTCATCTTTCATTTCTTATATTACACTCCTATGCATACTACTCAAAGGAAGTAGCTGCACCAAAGCAAATTACTCTTCAGATACTTTGAAAATTTTTGTTTTATCAGTAGTCCTCATTTAACGCCTTTGATAGTGACTATTCACAAATAGGATGGTAATAAATGGTAATAAAAATCATTTTCCAACCAATGCTCACATTTATGACAATACAAGCTTTCAGTCTAAAATTGATTAAGGTCTGGTCAGTTTCAGGCAACAGCTGCAAGCCAGCCAGAGCATTCCAATCAACTAATTAAGGTCACAGAGCTGAGCTTGTTAACTTGTAGTTATCACTTTTTAGGGAAATGCTCTTCTAGGGAGAAAAATTGATTTCAGCTATCTCTCCTCCCTATTAGGGGGGTAAAAAAGGGAAGGAAGCAGAGAAGTGTGTCAGGCACAAGATACTGTAATAGAGAACTTTATCTGAATGAGAAAGTGGCTTGAACTGAGAAAGTGTTAATGAAATTGTATGTATGTATGTATGTATTTGTTTGTTTGTTTGTTTGGTTGGTTAGTTAGTTAGTTAGTTAGTTAGTTAGTTAGTTAGTTAGTTAGTTAGTTAGTTAGTTA